ATCCAACCCGATCCGTTCACATCAACCGACATTACTTCTTCCTTGCAAAGGGCATCACTGTGGTTGATCAAACACTGAGTGATTCCCCCCAGTTTGGTTTCTCTTGCCTCTTTCTCCAGCTCTCTGCCCACAATTCATCTTCAGCTTTGCTAATGCAGAGAGTCCCGTGTCTCTCTTCTGTGCTGCGCCACTCCACAAGGGCTCTGCTAGAGATGGATCCAAATAGCTACTGGATTTTATGTTTTCAAATAAACTGCAATTACAGTCCAAGCAGCCCTTGCTGTAGCCTGAACTCTGTTTCTGCCTAGCTGAGCCATTTGGATTTTTTTTCCTAATGGACCAGCAGTGCAGCCTGTAACATTCAGATTGATGCTGCCAGGACAATTTTGCAGTTCTTGGCCACAGTAGAGGCAAGAGGGTGACTGACAGACACCTTCTTACTGAGACACAGCAGTGCAACTCAGACTGGGCTTCTAGTGCTGTCCAGCTGGGGGTCCCAAAGGGAGGAACCTGTTTTTCTGTGTCTCACGTTAACTAAATGGTCACTACCCTGTTGTTGCAATGTGCCTTCAAGTCATCTCTGACTGATGCCAGCCCTATGGAGGGAAACTCCCACAATGTTCTATCCATGACAGCCCTGCCCAACTCTTGCAAACTGAAGGATGCGGCATCCTTCATGGAATTGATCCATCTCATATTTGGGCCTCCTTTTCTTCTTGGGCTTTCCTTAGCGTGGTTGTCTTCTCCAGGGATGCATGTTTACTGTTGGAGGGCTCTTAGCATTGCAAATCAAAAGACCTTTCCTTCATAATGGACTTGTTTTGTTTTTTCTGAAGGACAAATGGTGTCATCCAGAACCCCAATAATATCCGGTGTTTTGGACAAGGCGATTGCAGTATAATGGCCTAGTATGAGCTGTTTATATTTGTTTTAAATTGGGCTTTTAAATTTCATGTTTTAATGTTTTCATTGTTGCCTGTATTTTATATTGTATTTTATATGTTGTTGTAACCCACAACAACATATAAAATACCTTGAGATCTTGAGCTATTAGGCAGTATAGAAAAGGGGGAAGGGGAAGAGTGGTGGACCTCAGCCTCACATGAGTAGACATTTGGAGCCTGTGTAACTGAAAGGACCCTTCCTACTCTATCATTTCCTGTAGATGGCATTGGTTGCCAACTGGGAACCAGCACTGTGACATGGTGGCACCATTTGCAGGATTAGTTGCCTGCATCTTTTTCAGTGACCAGAGAAATCTGGGGCTTAGGCCCACCATTCTGCCACCAACAGCCAAGGCAGTGGTGAAGCTGCAATTAGCTGCAGCATCGGTCCTTTTCAGACGTGATGGCAACTGCTGCATTTCGCCACAGAAGGAAGAAAGGGGTCGGGCTAAGCAGCCCCACCTCTGACGCCATGCCATGCTTAGGCATTCATGGGTACTGGGTGCCAATGGGGCAGCGATGGGCACACAGCTGCACACCCATTGGCCGATTCAGAGCCCCGTGTGGCTGGGGTCCTGAACTGCACAGACAGCAATGCACGGTGCCCCCCCACACAAGTATCTGTGCTGTAGGCACAGATGGCCATCAGTGGGGCTATGCTACGGCCTGATGCCAGGAGGAAAGGCTACTCCGTGTGGCACTTGACTGCTTATCATTGGGTGTGAATAGGGCCGTAGGATGCCCCATCATACCCGTATTGCCTAAATCATGTGCCAGTTAAAGGCATGGCCCTCAACCATTATAACTCTCAGCACTTTCAGAGGCTGTGTGAACATGGAATGCTCTTAATGCACCACGTTATATCCAAAGGCCCTTTGTTGATCAAATCTGTATAGCGTGTGATGCTCTCAGCAAGCTGATGTGCTTTGAGCGGTGCCGGTTTACACAGATTCCTCCATGCTTCTTCCCCACCCAAGGCCTCCTCTCTGCGCTGTTAATTCAGCCTCCCGAAGGCACGTGCAGAGTGTGCCACGAAGACCCCGCCTAATTGCACGCTGGGTTGCTGCCAGCGTGACCCTGGCAACAGCATCATTTCCAGAATGCCCAGCCTTGATGAACGATATATTTCTCTCTTGTGACAGGTTTATTCCTTTGTTGAAGAATTGTTTAAGAGCTATTTCATTGTATATTGCAAAGGTGTAATTGGGTTGTAACAGGTTTATTTCTTTAATAGGTTAGGCAATAATTGTATGTCACCCTTTTAGCACACAGGCCTTTTATTCTTCTTAACATGCGGATAGCTTTTATCAGGCAGTCAGTTAACAGCTTGGCTCTCGACACCCACCATTCCCCACCATCTAATGGAGAGAGAAAGAGAGAGAAAGAGATGTATACAGGTTTATTCCGTTGTCAAATTACCAAGCTAATATTTAAAAGCACAACAGTAGAATCGAATTAAAAATAGATGATTCAACCAGGTGCAGAGAACAGAAGCCAGAAGCAAAAGGAACTCAGTGTACAGATATGAGTCCTGTCTACCCTCTAGCCTCATTCTCTTTGAGAAGACAGCCCTGGGAACTGATGTGGTATGATGGGACTAAGCATTTCTAGAATAATTCTTTTTCCCTTTGGCTAAGCTGGAAATTTCCAGGATGCCAAGGTAGTAACTATTGTTATTGTTATTCTCTGATGCAGATAAAACCTTAAGGACATTATTTCTATAATTCTGGAGCAACTTCCCAAGAGCATCTTTTTCCATGCCCAGTCTCTCTGGACTAATGGCAATAATTCCATAAATATGTGACAAACTACTGAGAACATTTCTCTACGTTCCCCAGCTGCCTTGACTAAGAGCTGGTCTACATGTTCAGGGAGGGCCCATCATGCAGCCGTCCTTGGGCTATGCTATTTAAGACCAAGCAAAAGGCCTGGGGTAGGATGACCTGGAGGCTGAATTTGTATGGATCCATTTGGTACAGCTGGTAGAAGACAGTCCTGTGTTTGAGAAAATGTCCAATATTTGAAGGGTTGTCCAATCCAAATCTGGTTTAAAGATACAAAAACAAAAACTGTAAGGCAGGAGGATCAAAGGCCTTAACATTGCCCATCAAAAGTTGGCACTGGGACAATTGAATAAGCCAGGACCCAGGTCACCAAGTTGGTCTCTACTATGATGAGATAGCGTGTATTTCTATTTAAATAACAGTTATTTTTTCCCCTATATGTGTAAAGTAACATATGCAAATTAACATTTTGGTGATGCCTGCCTGCCTGCCTGCCTGCCTGCCTGCCTGCCTGCCTTCCTTCCTTCCTTCCTTCCTTCGGCAAATGTGTAAGTAACCACTATAGGATCCAATCAAAGTTCACTCCATAGGGAAGCTTGTCTGGCATCAAACCTTTTGTCCTTTTGGCATAAGACAAAAGCTTTTCTTTGCTCAGGAATTTCAGCATGTTTTATAACTGTGTCCAATTTTATGGTACAGCCTTTTACTGATTTTATGACTGCTATTTCTGTGCTGTCATCTTTGTTTGTGTTTTGATGTCTTTTTGTTGTAATAGAATTATCAATTGCATTCTTACCTTGCAGGCTTCATACTGAATATATTATTTAAGTAGACATGATTTTGTTATCTGAAGATAAAACATTAATCATACCACTCTGGATGCCGTAACATGAAATTGTTTGTCTGTGTGCATGTGCATGTGATATGTGTGCCATGTTTTTCAGTCAAGATTAGGTCCCAAAATTGATTGCTATTAAAACCCACACAAAGGCCCAACATACAGTGAAAATCTGTTTATTTCAAAGTAAGTTTCACTGTGTTCGGTAGGACTTATCCCAAGGTAAGCATGAATAGGATTGCAATCCTATAATATAATAGGATTATATTATTGATAAGTGGTAGGAGAAGCAGTCTTGTCTGGCCAATGGGGAATGATAATCAAGTCGAGGAATGCCATGGCATAGAAGTTAGCATTCATGAAATGTTTTAAATGGAGTTTGTACAGCTAGAGAGATGTTTCAATTGCATTCTTCGTCATGCTTTTGATGGGTTTGTCTTACTATTCTTGGAGCCCATGTCAGGCACGCTTAGAAATCAGTGGGACTTAAAGTCTATGATGGCTTTAGTAGGTCTGCTCTCAAGCAGGGATCCACTCCATTATGAGCTGCTTGAGCCTCATTTTGTATGGAAAAGCAGCATATAAATAAACAAACAAGAACTGTAACAAATACAAAGCATGTGAATAGTAATACTCCTATGTGCCGATAGCAAACTCATTCCCTGTGTGCAAATCACTATGTTGCCAGAGCAGCACAACCCATGTACAAAAGGGATGCATTTGTGTGCTTGGAGTCAACTTTGCACTCAGCAGAAGTATAAAAAAAGTTTAGGGAGGGAACTCACTGGAACAAGGACAGGCAGCAAGGGCCTTCTGGGCACCTCCTTCCTTCTTCATTTTTTACTCTTGTGCTAAAAGATGGGGGGAAAACAACCCCAAAGTATTGTTAAATGTAATTGGACAATTATTATTATTATTATTATTATTATTATTATTATTATTATTATTAGAACATTTCTATGCCGCCCCTTGCCGAAGCCTCGGGGCGGCTTACAAACACAATAAAATACAATAAAATACAAAAACAACAATATAAAATTAAAATTAACAATATAAAATAAATAAAAATATAAAATATAAAAGAATTATCTGATTGGGATGGTGCAACTGGCATCTTACACTACTAGCAGGGGGTTGGACTCAATGGCCTTTCTGCCCTTCTAACCCAGCTGTTCAGTGCATCTGTGAATAAGAAATATAATAATTTGTTGAATAAATAAATAGCTCAAGGAGAACTGAACATTCTCAGAGGGGGTGACATTCTGACTGACTGTTGATGGGTGGGCCTGACAAGGCAGGAGAAGGAGGAACGGCATAGCCAGGGAGGGGGCCTCGCTGGCTGGAACCGTCCAGAGTCCCACTCGGCCTTGCAAACTTTTGCTGCAAGTTCCACTTCTTAGCTTGGCCAGAGCCTTTATGGGTAACCTGGAGTACTCAGCTCCAGGAGAAATAAATGGATGCAGCAAGCCAAAACGAAAATGTCTTTGAAATGTCTGAAGGAATTAAAACATTTTAGGCATATGGTGCATTAGCCACATGTTTAAACATTTGGCTTTAGCTGCACAAATGAGCAACCAGTGGAATGTGCTTAGTGGGCTGCACAGATTATCTCGCACCGCACTAAGCTGCATATGTTCTGCATGGGATCGGGTAGCGAAAGTGTCAGATGCTCAGTGACTCCCCACCCCTGCCCAGGGTCATCCACTGTCACATTTCCCTGCCCACCATCAGGGCCAGTCGGGGAGATGCAAAGTACCAGGAGCCTGAATCCATGTTCAGCACCTTTGATCTGATCCCCACAGCCCAAGAGTGGGGTAGCATCCATGAATGCTGTTCCACACGGCTGCTAGTGATATCGGGTGATTGATTTGTCCATTTTGGTTAAGGCCATTATGCTTCCATTGCTCAAAGTGGCTAAAATAACTTCATTTTAATATTAAAGCAATCCAATCCAAAAATATCACATACAAGCCACTTAAAACAAGAGCAGGAGAAAACCTATGACCAAGGTAACAAATGATATGTATCAAACAGAAGGTCAGAATTGTCCTGGGCAAAAGAATTAAAACATCTTCAAGTGGTGTCAGAAGGACATCAGGGTGAGTGTCCAGTGAGCCTCTGTGGGGAGAGCATACCAGAGCTGGGGTGCCACCACTGAGAAGGTCTTATCACCAGTCATGCTGGGAATTGTAGGATTTTTTCATTTTAAACTTGCATAGGCTCACGCTGTTACATGTGGTTTTTTCTTTTCTTCCTTTCTATATATTCTTAAATGCACAGTCCCAAGATAGTCCAGATTGTGAAACTACACATGCCTCTTATCACACGATTAGGAAACAGTGCCTGGCTTTCCTTGCCGCAGAAATGCTCACAACGTACAGGAGAGGCCCTGGAGAACAAGAACACCTTGTAAAGCTCCTGCAATCTACTACAGGTGAAGAATCCATAGCACACAAGGGTTGTCGCATGCCGAGAAGTTGTAAGCGATGGGTGAAGCAGCAGAAAGAAGAAAAAGCATGAGGCTTTTAGAAGGAAGAGGAAATGCATGTTTGTGAAAGTGTTGTTGAAGCAAACTCCTGTGTTAATTCAGTTGCGGCCAAATCTCTCCTGGCTCCCAAACTGCTATTGCACGCTTTTTAAAACCGAGTCTACATTCCAGCTATGTAGCTGGAACAGCACAACAAAAGTGTTGGCCAACCCAGACTTGAACACAAAGCTCACAGCACACCCTGCTTTTGTCCTTTGTCGCTGTTTCATTTGGTCAGCTTGTCTCCAATGCACGGCAACCCTATGAAGCAGGGACCTCCAAAAAGTACTGCCTAGGATAGCCCTGCTCAGCTCTTCTCAATTTGAGGCTGTGGGTCCTTTTATGGAATCAGTCCATCTCATAGTTGGTGTTCTTTTTCTGCCTTTGATTTTCCCTAGCACGATTGCCTTCTGCAGTGAGTCTTGCCTTCTTATGACGTGCCCAAAACACAACAGCCCCAGTTTTGTCATTTTTTTGCTTCCAGGGAAAGCTCTGGCATGATTTGATCTAGGAGCCCCTTGTTCATCTCTCTGTTGCTCTGGGGCATAAACAAAGCTCTCCATTTTCTTCCTGGCAGCATTCTTCCCTGCCCAGCTTTCACACCCATACACAGTAAGATTTGCACTTCAAAGAAAGAGGGAAGGAATTTGCTTCTGTCACTCTCCAGGTGGTCATTTAGGGGCCCCCCAGCCAGAAAGTCCAGGCTTGACTGCACCACTAGATCTTCTGCAAATTAAGCCCACCTTGTTTCCACTCACTTTCCCTTGACTATGCCCTTTGCCTTCTCTTTGGGCCAAATACTTTGCTAGTGTATCTGCTTCAGTTTCTACTAGCTCATATTTCCCTCCACCTGCATCAGTTGTTACAGCTAAATGCCTTATGGCAACCAAGGAAAGTTAAGTACTTTAGTGTCAAAATCAGAGAAAGAACACGGAGAGATCATTTGCTTCCATCTTACTGGGAACACATAAATGTGCTTCAGACTGATGCTGAGCTAAAGGTGGGTGGGTGGAGAATTGTGCTCTGTATCCAAAAACACTCTTTGCTTTTGGTGATTTATCTGAAATTTCTGCAAAAGGGGATGAAAGTGTTCGCCTCTGGAAGAATTCTTCTGCATAAGCTTTGTTTGCCCTCAGTTATATGGCACTATGTTAGCTCTGATTGGCTGGGTTCATTGGTGTGATGGCCCTTGCTCTAAATTGGTTTCTCATTCAAAAAGCTGCGTGTTGTGTCTGTTTCAATATGAGATATTCAAGGCAGCCCACAACATGATGCTAATCCATTCTAATACAAATGAATTCAGATATAAACTTATTTGACTCTCACCCTTAGGGCAGCTAAAAGCTCATCCCTGGTTGTCACTCTGGAGATGGCAGAGAAGCCCCGTACAGGAGGCAAGAAGGAAAGGTCCTGAAGCAGAAGCAGACAGGGGAATTCAGGTGTCTATAAATATCAGCTGGATTCACAAGGCAAACGTCTACTAACCTTCCCCACCACTGCTTCCCTCTGGTGCAAGAAAAGAGTCATGAGGGAAGCTGACCACCAGCTTCCCTCTTGGTGGGCTACCCAGGGCCATCATACTGGGATTCTGAAGAAGAAGATGGGAACCTTGGGGAAGCAGAGGTAAGTTCTGGGAACCCGCAAAGGTCACAGATTCCCAGGCCAACCTGGACAGCGGGAATGTTTTGGAAGAGACAAGAGGAGTCAAGGAAGAACTGTTGCCTTGCTGAATCCCCAGTGCCAGGAGCATCAGGAAGGACAAGCTGCCCAGTTAGGGGGCTTGTGTGGGTCTTGTTGGCAGGCTCCTCACCCACCGGAGCCACCTCCCCACCAGCACCACTCATGTGGTCTCAGTCTGGATTACCCCTCTCTGTTATTAAAATTAAATTACCTTAAAAATAATAATGCAATTTCCAGATATCTGAATGCCGTCTGGCGTCAAGGAGATATAAAATATTCTTTCAAAATGAAGATATTTCCACCCAGGCACAGAGGTCTTACAGGGGGCAGCATTGCTGTGTGCCTGGTAGGGAATATTTGGCATGCAGCAGTTTGCTGGATTGCAATTCCCATCAACCCCGGGCAGCAAAGTCCTGCTGTTAGGCAGAATAAGGCAGTTTTCTCAGGCCACAGATGCTGAGAGAAGGCAGCAAGGTGTGGGAGAAGTGAGCTACCAACTTCCCAGCCTGCCCTGCATCCACTGATCCAAGCTTAGAGTGTGATGGTGCCATGGCACTGCCCCATCCTCGGGGTTAAAGAACTGTTTAACTACATATTTGATGTACATGCAATGGGAGCAGGTCCCACAAAATGTCTTGATCCAGCCCTGGTTGCACTCCAACATCCAGAGGGCCACCCATTGACTCAGACTGCATGCAAGCCCATCTTCCTCTCAGAAAGACATATTCACTTCCCATTCTGTAGGAGGCTGAAGGCATCATTATAGGAAGTTTTTAACCTGCCACTTCATCAATGTTTCTGCTTCTAGATTGTATGTGGAACTAAGATGGGCTTCTTTGTATATTCCATTGTGCTATAGTGGAATTGCAAAAATGCACAAGTTGCTCATTTTGGTCCATTTCATTATTTCTAGATAATGCTACACTTTCCTTGATTTTTTTAATGCTATGGGAGAGGCTCGGCATCTCAAAACACCCACAAACTACTGTAATGAAGAATCATGAGGATATTATAAAAACCTCCTAAGAGAAGACTTGATTTCTACATTGGAATGTAATTTTCTAGATAAATCCTGGACCTTTATATCTTGATAGTTCCTTAGACTGCAGGAAAGCACTTCATTCCAGGATAGATACCCAGGATTCAGTTGGATAGCAAGTCCCATCACTTGAGCAATGTGTTTGTTGTGCAGTTGTGGGTGATGGGGCTTGAAGTCTGATGCATCTGGCAGGTGCCAGCTTGGGGAAGGCTGGCCTCCTTGATGGCTCTCCGGGGTCTTGAGAGATGCAGTTTACCTGAGCCTTTGAAGTGGAGATGCCCATCTTGGACCTGGAATCTTCTGTAGGCAAGCATGCGCTCTGCCACTGAGCTGGGGTCCATTGGTACCTCTTTGCTCATTTCTTTGTGTGTCTGCCTGTTTCCCAAAGCATCAACACTGCCAACAAAACTTGTGTTGAGAGCCTTTACCTCTTCAATAAGGAGAGACGTGTGCAAAGCAACTGCAGATCTTGTATGTCCTCCATGACTCATGAATTGAACAGATCAGTCCATTTCTGGCAGTTCAGAACTGCTTCTCTGCACCTCTGACATTTACATCGGCATCTTAGGCCTACAAAACTTTTGGGCATGCCAGTGATTCTTTTGCGGAAACATTAATCCAGATACACATTCTGCCATGCTCACATTGTGGTTGATAGCCATCAGTGAATTACTTC